TGCCCTGCCCTGCCCTGCCCTGTGTGTGTTGGACCCTCATAGCACTCACCTGATGTTCCCTCCCCGGGGTCCGAGGTGGTCTGGGAGGCCTCCTGTGTCTGGGTGCCTGGCTCCTGGGTGCCGTCCTCCTCCTCTTCTTCCTCCTCCTGGTGCTCCTGGTCCTCCAGCAGGTGTTCCGGCCGCTGTAGAACCGGGGTCTCCAGGCCAGACTCCACGAGCCTCTCAGGAGGCAGAGGATCTCTTGCCCCCAGGATTCTGTCCAGGTCCTCGTAGTGCTCACAGGAGTGCGGCCTTTCCCCGGAGCGGGAGCTCTGCTCAGGGGCCTGGACATACCCCTGCCTCAGCTCCTTTACTTTGGCTCTGACCTGCTCCAGTGTGCGGGGATGGTGGCCTTGTTTGGCCAGCTCTTCTGCCATTCGGGCATAGATGTCTGCATTCTGCCTCTTCGTGGAGTGCATGGCCTGTAGGGAGTCCTCCTCAGCCCAGAGGCCCAGGAGGGCTTTTATCTCTGGCCCTGACCAGGAGGGTGCCCGGCGCTTGGTGCCCCGGGGTTCCCGGGTGAATGATTCCCTGGAAGGGCCAGAGGGATCTTGGGGGGCTTGTCCCTGTGACATAGCTCGACCTGAACTGAGCAGTACAGCCCTGGTCTGCTCTGGAGCTCGCTTGCTGCCAGAGTGCTGCTCCTGGGTGCCTGTGCCTTTTAAAGATGGCTACGGCCAGGAACAATAGAGTTGCAAGCTGTGGCAGGAGTGTCCACCAGGGGTTCTCCCTTTCATGTCGACATAACTTTTCCCCTGCGTCCACACTGCTATTTTGTCCACAGAACTACATTGACAAAGGAGTTATTCCTCATAGAATGAGGTTTACATACGTCGACAAAACTGCTGAGTTTTGTCGACGTTATGTCGACATAACTCAAAGGCAGTGTGGACGCAGGTATAGTTTTGTCGACAAAAGTCCACTTTCGTCGACAAAACTCTGTAGTCTAGACACACCCTTGGTGACTACAAAGCTGTATCTAAGGATGTACGGACTTTAGATCTGGCATGAACACAGTAGATAAGATAGTCTTAGGAAATTTGAGATTGGAGAAAGGTCCTTAAGAAAGTGCATAGTGCTTTGTGAACATATGTTCTGATGACCAAGTAGCAGCTGTGCAAAGGTCTGCTATAGGGATTTTTTGGAGAAATGCCACTGAAATAAACATGGCTCTGGCTGAATGTGCTCTTATATTGTCAGGAGGATTAACAGCTGATAAAGAGTAGTAAAGTCTTTTAGAGTCCAAAATCCAGTGAGAGAGTCACTGAGCTGAGATGGCTTTGCCTTTATTGTGATTCACTATGGAGACAAACAATTTAGGAGAAGTTCTGAATGGCCTTCTTCATTGTAAATAAACACAAAGTTGCCCTGTGTAAGTCTAGTGTGTGCATGATTGATTCAAACATGTTAGTGTGAAGTTTCGGAAAAAAGGTAGGTAAGTGTAGGTGTGATTCAGGTGAAAAGACAATTGAACCTTTGATAAAAACTCAGGATGTGTGTGTTAGATCACCTTTTCTTTGAAAAAGTTAGCATACAGGGGTCTGCCATTAGTGGTGCAATTTCTTCCTACACGTCTTGTAGATATAATGTCTCTTAGAAAAACTACTTTTATAGAGAGGTGCAAAAAGAAACATGTAGCCATTGGCTCAAACAGAGATTTGGCGAGAGTATTTAAAATCAGGTGGCAGTCCCAAAGTTGTGCTGGTGGAACTACATCTGGGTAAAGTGCTTGCAGGCCTTTGATGAACCTCTTTGTAAGAGGGTATTCAAATATTGAAGTATCGTCTACTTTGAGATGAAAGGTTGTAATAGCAGGAAGTTGTACTTTGATGGAGCCCAGTGCAAGACCAGCTTGCTTAAGGTGCAACAAATATTCCAAGATCAAAGGTAATGGAGATGTAGACAGGTTAGAGTGTCAATGTGAACACCATTCCGAGAACCTTTTCCACTTTTGAAGGAATGTTTTATGGGTGCTCTGTGCTCATGTTGAACCTGTTTAGAGACCTAGTTCTTGTGCAGAAAGCCATTGAGGAACCACACATTCAGGTTCATTATGTGAAGATTGGGATGAATGGTCTGGCTTCTGGGCTGGTAGAGGAGATTTGGGTTGTGGGGCAGGAGAATTGGAGGTATGTATGACATTTTGAGCAGAAAGGGGAAGAGAAAGTCACTCACCCTGGGTATGTCTACACTACCCTCCTAGTTCGAACTAGGAGGGTAGTGTAGACACACCCAAATAGACTCACAGAAAGACACACACACACAGACAGACACACAAATATCTCTACATACATAGCTTACTCATTGTCCCCAACCATGGCCAAAGTCCTGTGGTGCTGGGCCTGGACACACACACATACATTGCAAGAGCAGTCCCTGCCCCAAAGAACTTCCACTCTAAATAGAGGAGAGGCAAATGGTAGGAGAAACCTATTGGGGATCCTTCTATGCCCCCCCATCACTACAATTTCTGAATGCCTCACAATGTGCAATAGTGGTAGAGATGTAGCCGTGTTAGTCTGGGGTAGCTGAAGCAAAATGCAGGACAATGTAGCACTTTAAAGACTAACAAGATGGTTTATTAGATGATGAGCTTTCGTGGGCCAGACCCACCTTTACACACTGATGGGCTGGGTCCATGTAGGTCTCATGTAAGGGAGTCGAGGGGCCTGAGGCAAAGCCAATGAAAAGACTCAGTAACGGAGGCTCTTTGAGATGCTTGTCCCTATGGGCGTTCCACCTTAGGTGTCCGGGATGTCAGTGTGTGCCTAGTCAGAGATTTTTGGTAGCAGTGCCCTCCGGTAGGCAGCACATGTGGAGCAGATGGCATGTGCAGTGCCGCTACTGTGTATGTTCCTTCACTGCCTCAGAAGAACTATGTCTGAAACAACTATGTCTGAAGCAGAGGGGAGGAAAGGTCGGTGGTGGAGCACCCACAGGGCAACCACCTCAAAGAACCTCTGTTACTACAGAGGGTGAGTAATCCTCTCGTCTTCTTTGAGGAGTGTCTCTGTGGGTGCTCCACCATAGGTGATTATAGAGCAGTATCCGTGATCAGAGGCAGGTG